GTTACATGATTCAGTTCAGAGATCATGTTTGAACTTGAAAGTAGTTTACAAGTTAAGCTATCCCTCATGTGCTGCATAAATAGAATTGGGCGGTATTAAGAATATCCAGAGACGCGACATGAAACCAAGTGTCTGCCTTTGTCTTCTACAGTTTGTGACTGATGCATGCATCAATATTGAAAAACTATGCCTCCATGCCGAGGGGCCCCTTCAGAGTTGCTAGGAAACCCAATAACTGTTTTGTACCATCCTGAGATTTTAATTCCTTTCTAGTGCAACACAATGAGGAGCAGTTGAATGTTTTAAACATTTTTGGGAAAAGAAGTACTGCAAGTCTTTAAAAGTCTGTTTAAAATTTCTTATAGCAGTATACATATTAAGGAAATCTCATTATAAAACTCACCTTTCTTAAAATCTCTGTTGTGAAAAATAACTGCCAACAATTTGTCTATCCAGATCACTTTTATACACATGTAACTGTTTTCTAAGATACTGTTTGAAAGAGGTAATTTTATGTATCAAACAGGAAAGAATGGATGATACTATCATGAAAACAAAGTTACATTTCATTCTAATGATGGTAATGTCAGTGCTGAGAACATGAATTAGGAGGATTGGAACTTTTACTCAGTTTAGATGTCTCAGTGATGCCTGTTAACTTTTCAATTTGATTTTTATAAAATAAAAACTTGAAGCACAGAGTAACTCGGATTAATTATTTATTATTAATTATTATTAATTGTTTTTTCTAAAGCAAATTTAATTGTTAGATATTTTGCCTTCATATTTTTGAGCTGTCTTGATTCATTTGAAATGGAATTCTCTATCTTACATCATTTGTATGGCATTCATTCCCAGACCAATTAGATGCAGGCAGTGGTTGTAGTAGCTGTAGATAGGAGATCTTCAAATAGCAGGACCTTCTGACAAGTTAATGCTCTTTTTCAACATTCCTCAAATTGATCAAACTTACAGTCCAGTCACCAGTTATTTTCTACTAGTGTGCAAGGAACCCAGCAAGAGATAAAAGCCACAATTTCCCCGAACCCTGGTGGAACTAATGGTGAATCAGGGTATACATTTAAAAAATTCCCTTAAAAATACAAGGTGGTATGGGAAGATGAGGCAAAGACCATGGAGCCTGAGTCAATTTCACAGTAAAGTTTATAAAAGGGAAAATAAGAAAATAGTATACACTGAGTGCCAAGAGAGTGATAATACAGATAGCAGAAGGTGAGCTACTTCACAGAATACTGTGAGCATTCCAGGAACACAGAAAGAAAAATCACTGTAGCCTGAAAAGTTAGCAGAATGCCTCAAGTGAATGAAGCAGGACTGGAACTGAGTTATTAGAAACGATGGAAAGTATTCATTCAGAGAATTGAATATTAATCAGGAGAATTAGCTGTAATTATACACATAAGTATCAAATCATACCACTTAAGCTAGAAATGTGTACATGAAACGGAGATGGGGATAGTATGGACTTTGGGGGATGGTAAGTAGTTCATTTGGGCTGAATCAGAGATTTTGGATGGCGTATCATTAATATTTGCTGTTTAACAAACCAACCCAAATTTGAGAGGCTTTAAAACACCAGTCATGTGTTGGTTCACAGTCCTGTCTGGCTCAGTCCTGGGGCTGCAGGTGGCTGGTGTGGGGCTGGGCCTGTGTTCCAGGGGGGCTGTGTGTTGGGCACTTGTCACTGTCGTGCTCACACCTGCGATCTTTCTTATGTCGTGCACGTGGTGGCAGGTGGCAGGGGTCCTAGCGGGCCAGAGCGGGGGCAGCAACACCTCTTGAAGCCTGGCCGTGGGAGGCTCAGCAGCACTCAGGCCACAGTCTCTTGGCCAGAAGCAAGGCCAGCCTCTGGTTTAGGGGAAGTTGTGCAGAGAATCCGTGTCCAGTTTTTGGTTTTTTTTTAAATTATTTTTGGCTGTGCTGGATCTCTGTTGCTCCGTGGTGTTTTTCTAGCTGCAGTGAGCAGGGGGCTCCTCTCTGGTTGCGGTACGCTGGCTCCTCGTGGTGGCTGCTCCTGTCGCGGAGCACAGGTTCTGGGGCACATGAGCTCGGCAGCTGTGGCTCCGGGGCTCCGAGCGCAGGCTCAGCAGTTGTGGCACACGGCCTTAGCTGCCCTGCAGCTTGTGGGTCTTCCCAGACCAAGCATCAAGCACATGTCTCCTGCGCTGGCAGGCAGAGTCTTTACCCCTGAGCTGCCAGGGAAACCATGCGTCCAGTTTTAATTTGCTCTTTGATAGTGCACTTAAGTGTGATAAAAGCTTAGGATGGTGCATGAACATAAATGGTCTTGTATGTAACTTGACTTTCATTCTCAAATCTATTGGCTTCAGCCTTACTAACATTTTATTACAGCTGATAATCCATGTGTATTAAGCCTCTTGTAAGGGCTAATAGGAAGGATCGTATAATGGCTAATAATACAGTTCTTCATTTTGGTTTGTTCTTCTGGAATGTTTATCATTTAAAAACCAGCAATGAAATCATCATTATGGAGAATTAGGACTGGATTTACTTTTAATTTTGCTCTGTGTTTATTTTTACATTGTGGACGGGGAGAAGGGGGGTAGAGGGGAGAGAGGAAAGCCCCAAGTGTCATCATCTTAGTGCCTGGGGCCCCTTCCCGGTCATCTTTCAGCCCTGAAAGGGTTGGATGATGCAGAGGTCGAAGTGGTAGAGCTGCTAAACAGAAACCAGTGTGTGCATTTGAAACTTCAGGTCTGCATTCGTTACACATTTGACTTTACACATAACAAAATGCTGGGTTATCACAAGGAAAACATACAGTGACAGACTGGTGCTGTGCAAACTTTTATAGTGTAAATAGAAAAAAAATTAAGTTTTGTGTGATAGTTCATTTACAGACTGAATTTATGTTAAATTGTTGGCTGCTCAAACTGCAGTCTTACTATAAGTAGTGAACAGACCGATTTTTATGTGTGAATTAAAATTAAACTGGATTTTTTTTTTCCCTTACAGGTAAGAAAGAGCATCATTATATTCATAGCTTGTTCCATCTTTTATGCATGTAATAGATACTGGTTTTGTTACAGTAAGTCGTTAACCACAAGGCGGAGACTTTTTTTCAGTTCTTATGGGATTGCACTGAGTTTAAACTATCTCAGAATCAGTCAGAAGAAACTATGCTGGAATTTTTATTTGGGGCTCTGGACATCTATTTTTGCTTTTAGAGAGTTTTTAAATATTGCTATTCAGCATTACTTCTCTTCGTAATCTAAGTGGAAGTTTCATAGGATACAAATTTCAAAACAATTTATAGAATTTTAAGATGGCCTTTTAAAATTATATAATAACTGACTTTTTCAGAAGGGAAATAGGAAGAGAGAAAGTAAGAAAGGTCTTAAAGATAATATTGAGGTCAACCTTTTGGTATGTTTAAAGCTATATAAATTGACAATGTTTCTTCTTCTTTTGAATTGTCATCAAAATTTATTGCTTAGAAATTTTTTTAAATTAATTTTAATTGGAGACTAATTGCTTTACAGTATTGTGGTGGTTTTTGCGATTCATTGACATGAATCAGCCACAGGTGTACACGTGTCCCCCATCCTGAACCCCCTCCTTCCCCACCCCATCCGTCAGGGCCGTCCCAGCGCACCGGCTTTGAGTGTCCTGTTTCACGCATCAAACGTGGACTGGCGATCTGTTTCACATATGATAATATACATGTTTCAGTGCTGTTCTCTCAAATCATCCCACCCTCGCCTTCTCCCACAGAGTCCAAAAGTCTGTTCTTTATATCTGTGTCTCTTTTGCTGCCTCGCATATAGGATTGTCATTACCATATTTCTAAAGTCCATATATATGTGTTAATATACTGTGTTGGTGTTTTTCTTTCTGACTTACTTCACTCTGTATAATAGGCTCCAGTTTCATCCACCTCATTAGAACTGATTCAAATATGTTTTTTTAATAGCAGAGTAATATTCCATTGTATATAAGTACTACAACTTTCTTATCCATTCATCTGCCGATGGACATCTAGGTTGCTTCCATGTCCTGGCTATTGTAAACAGTGCTGTGATGAACACTGGGGTACATGTCTCTTGCAGTTTTGGTTTCCTCAGTGTGTATGCCCAGCAGTGGGATTGCTGGGTCATGTAGCAGTTCTGTTTTCAGTTTTTTAAGGCATCTCCACACTGTTCTCCATAGTGGCTGTACTAGTTTGCATTCCCACCAACAGTGTAAGAAGGTTCCCTTTTCTCCACACCCTCTCCAGCACTTACTGTTTATAGACTTTTTGATAGTAGCCATTCTGACTGGTGTGAGATGGTACCTCATTGTGGTTTTGATTTGCATTTGTCTGATAATGAGTAATATTGAGGTTTTTTTCATGTTTGTTAGCCATCTGTATGTCTTCTTTGGAGAAATGTCTGTTTAGTTCTTTGGCCCATTTTTGATTGGGTCATTTATTTTTATGGCTTAGAAATATTTTTAAGCATTCAATAAAAGTCACCAAATCAAATTTAATAAAAATTTGGAATTACAGAAGCCTTGACACAAAAAGTGTCAAAATTCATCAGCACGTGCCCAGTGATGGGAATTCCAAGTGTGTTTTTGGCACCATGGCAAGCATGAATTAATGTGGCCTTGAATTAGACTGATGTAACTAATCTTTCAGAGACTCTAGCCAGGTTCAGTTTTAAACAGCTGCCTGGATAATAAAAATCCTCTGCTAGGTTCTTCCAACTCATGTGAGAATGCTGTTATTCCAAATAATAGTGGGAAGTTTCCAGTGCTCTGAAATGAAATTGTATTGAATAGGATGGGTATTAGTATTTCTATTTCTACAGAGGCGCACACACACAAAACGCGACTGCTGAGTTGGAGTTTCATTCCTCTGGTCCCCAGTAAAGTCCTGTTTCCCCCACATCCTGTGGTTCCTCTGAACAGTCAAGGTGTCCTGAGGGTGCCGCCAGCCTGGGAGCAGATGCTCAGTCCATATGTGTTTCATTTTCTAGATTTCGCCAGAGGTTTGAGTATCACTACTCCTGAACAGATGATTGAAAAGGCCAAAGGGGAAACTGCTTATTTGCCATGCAAGTTTACCCTCAGTCCGGAAGACCAGGGGCCGCTGGACATCGAGTGGCTGCTGTCACCAGCGGATAACCAGAAGGTGGATCAGGTGGTAAGTGCTGCTCACTCGGCAGATGTCGGGGGAACCTGTGTTTGGTGTCGTCACTGTGTTGATACTCGAGGTGGGGGGACACGGGGAGCTGTGAAGAAAGCCTGAGACTTCCTCGGCTTGCAGCGTAGGGGAGAAAGGCAGATGCTTGGAGAAAAAGCACCCTGATGTAATGGAGTGAAATCCTTAGATTTCAGAGGAAGGAAAGGTCACCAGACTTCTTACACAGGGCTGCAAGGAGGAAGGCGAGCTTGAGAATGTCCTGAAAATCTGGCCTTGGACGTGTGTGTGGCCCAGGTGCCATGGGAGGCGTGTACGGAGCGGCATGTTAGTCTGCAGGGAAGTGCGTGACATGTCAGGGGGCGCCGGGTAAAGTGGACGTTGTGAGAGGTTAGATAGAAGTGAATTTCCAAGTTTCACACAAGAATTCCATTACCAGTATAAGGGTCAAGTCTAACAGAGGAGTGAAGGTACATATCATTACAGTCTCTTTTCCATATTTTTGCAAGTTAAGTATCCTGTATATTGAATACCTTAAAAAACAGAATAGCAGTTGGCCCTCCAGATCTGTGAGTTCTGCATTGGTGGATTAAACCAATTATGAATTGAGAATATTCAGGGGAAAAAACATTCCAGAATATTCCAGACAGCAAAACTTGAACTTCCCACATGCCAGCAACAATTTACATAGCATTTACATTGTATTAGGTATTCTAGATAAAAGTAATCTGGATAAAGTATATGGGATAATGGATAAGTGACCTCAGATTTCAGAGGAAAGGAAGGTCACCAGACTTAGAGAAGGCTGCAAGGAAGAAGAGGAGCTTGAAAATGTTCTGAAAATCTGGCCTTGGAAGTGTGTGTGGCCCAGGGGCATGGGAGACGAGTAAGGAGCAGGCATGATAGCCCGCAGGGATGTGCGTGACATGCCGGGGACGCTATCATACGTCATCTAGATGAGGATATGGGAGGAAGCATATACTTTACCATCTCATACGTATGTCAGACTTCCCTGGTGGCTTAATGGTAAAGAATCCACCTGCTAATGCAGGAGAGACAGGTTCGATCCCTGGATCAGGAAGATCCCCTCGAGAAATGGCAACACCTGCTCCAGTATTCTTGCCTGGGAAATCCCATGGACAGAGGAGCCTGGTGGGCAACAGTCCTTGGGGTCACAGAAGAGTTGAATACGACTTTAGCGACTAAACAACATATTTACACCCTCTTATTTGAGGGAGCTGAGTATCTGTGGATTTCGGCATCTGAGGGAGGGAAGGGGGAAAGGGAGGAGGTCCTAGAACCACCCCCCCCACCCCATGGTTACCTAGGGATGACTGTCTTGTTACAGAATTTTTTCTAGTTACACCTTAACAGGGACCTAATGTAGAAAACCCCATTACTCTGTGACCCATAATCAGAGGCATTTTTATAAAGGTGATTAAGGAACTAAATAATTAAAGCAAGCTTGGTCAGTGAAGGCAAGATACAAGTGGAAGGGTTTTTATAAGCTGTTCTCTTATGTGCTATTCTGTAAGACAAGCTCGAGGCTTTCTGTTAGTCACCAGTTTCCATTAACCCTGTGGGGCGCGATTTCAGCCCCGTCTACAAATAAATGTATCACACTTTTAATGGTACCATAATATTTCACTTCATTTAGAATGCTTCATATTAGCTTTGCCTAACATACTTAAAAATAAGTCAATGTTAACAAATACTGTTAAACCAGGGAGAGAAAAAGAAGTTCAAATATTTGGAGTAATGTTGTACTATATATATATTTAGAAGGGAAATTTTTATTTGTGGTCCATATTTAAAAAAGGGGTTATCCAGGCAGTTAGTGGCGGAATCAGTGCAGTTAGGTAATTAACTGTTTTTGGCAAATACAAGTAGTGTGCCCATGATGTTTTTGTGAAGGAAAAAATTAAGGTGCTTTCCCGAGTTGTAAATGGCTGGGGCCACTCCCTCCAAGGATAGCTCTCTACCCTGATTCTGATATGAGAACTTCCTTCTCTCCCTGAAGGAAAAGAAATTAAGCCCGACTCCTCCTGTCTACTCAGCCCAGATAGCCTGCCCCCCTCCCATCTTGCTCTTCGTCCCTCCCCTCTTTCCATGACTGTGCCAATACCCTGAACTCAGGCCTGAGCCCCTGCACGCCCCTCATTCCTTGGCCAGTGAAGTGCCCACCTCCTTTAGAATCCAGGACTCTGGTTCCACGGTTAAGATGTGAGAATGGAGAGCCCAGATCCCGGCTTAAGGCTCAGGGGTGAAGCCCTGTGACAAGGTGCCTCTTGAGACCAGAAAGGCCGCTGTGTCCTGCAGCCTTGGGTTTCCATCCAGGGAGGGAGAATCCAGGGACTTCTGAGCTAAGTGGAGGCCCAGCCTCACTGTCCACAGGACCTGGGAGACAGATGTGATCGTGGGTGCTGGGCTGAAGTGTCCATTTCTGGGTTAAGACACCTAGCCTCTGACCTAAAGCACAGTAAACAAGGCCACAAGAAAGAAGGGTTAGGGAGAGATTGATGCAGAGGAGGACACGTGCATAGAATTAGAGCTGTATTAGAATGCTTGCTAAATCCTTGTAATATTTTTAAGCTAGCAGGCAGTGTGATGGGGGTCTGGGCTGGAGAAATTTCCCTCCTCATTCCCTGTGTGATCTCTTTAATCAGCAGTTACAATGTACTTGGGCACTTACCGTGTGCTGGGCTGGACAGGGTTTTATATGCTTTAATTATATATACTTACTTAAGTCTTAAAACAACACTCCAGAATGAAGATCATTATACATGCGAAGAGGAGGAAAAGGAGGCCCAGAAATTTAAGGAGCATGCCCAGGGTCACGTAGCTGGCAACAGACACAGCAGGGCTTTTGAGCCCAGATCTCTCCAACTACTCCCCCCAGCCCCCGCCCCGACCCCATCTGGATTATCTTTTGCAGTATCATGTACTGCCTCCCACATTTCACAAGCCTCCGTTTCCTCTTATGTGAACTAAGAACAGGGACACCTGCTTCTCAGGGTTGTGATAAGAATTTTCTGAAAGTACTGTATGCTTTAGTGTTCTCTGAGTCTACAAGTCATTCAGAAATGTTCATGCAGGTAGCCTGCGATGCCAGACCGGATGGACCTGGTTTGCATCGCAGCTGTATGACCGAGAGAGTCGGTCTGTGACAGCCACTGCCTTCCGCAGGGTTAAAAGGTTAGATGTGGATCGTGCCTCCATCCCCATTGGGCTGTAAAGAGGAATCAAAATTGCCTGGTACATGTTAACTTCCCCATTTCTTAGCTCCTGTTTATAAAATTGTTTTCATGAGAACATGACCCAAGTTCATTTACAAAAATGACAGCGAAGACAGATTTGTCAGGCTCTCCTTGAAAAGCTGGGCTTCCAGGTGGCTCAGTGGTAAAGAATCCTCCTGCCAATGCCGGAGACTCCCTTCGATCCCTGGATCAGGAAGATGCCCCTGGAGAAGGAAATGGCAATCCACTCCAATATTCTTGACTGAGAAATCCCACGGACAGAGGATGCTGGCGGGCTATGGTTCATGGGTTCACAAAGAGTTGGACATGACCTAGGGATTGATGACTAGGGACTCCTAGAAAGGTGTGTGTGTGTGTGTCAGAATGAGGGATTCAAAGTATCATGGGTTGAGCTTCCTGGCTTTTCACAGCAAGAGAGTCCATGGGACTCCTAGAAAGGTGTGTGTGTGTGTGTGTGTGTGTGTGTGTGTCAGAATGAGGGATTCAAAGTATCATGGGTTGAGCTTCCTGGCTTTTCACAAGAAAGTCCATGGGACTCCTAGAAAGGTGTGTGTGTGTGTGTGTGTGTGTGTGTTCCTGGCTTTTCACAACAAGAAAGTCCATGGGACTCCTAGAAAGGTGTATGTGTGTGTGTGTGTGTGTGTGTCAGAATGAGGGATTCAAAGTATCATGGGTTGAGCTTCCTGGCTTTTCACAAGAAAGTCCATGGGACTCCTAGAAAGGTGTGTGTGTGTGTCAGAATGAGGGATTCAAAGTATCATGGGTTGAGCTTCCTGGCTTTTCACAAGAAAGTCCATGGGACTCCTAGAAAGGTGTGTGTGTGTGTGTGTGTGTGTGTGCGCGCCTGGCTTTTCACAACAAGAAAGTCCATGGGACTCCTAGAAAGGTGTGTGTGTGTGTCAGAATGAGGGATTCAAAGTATCATGGGTTGAGCTTCCTGGCTTTTCACAACAAGAGAGTCCATAGGTTAATACAGAGGAAGATACACTTAAGGAGTTCTCAGTACTGCTGTTGACAGGTGGATGTGGGCAGAGATGGAGTAGATAAAGTGATGGCTTGTGTTTACGGAGCAAGTCAGCTGTGGACCCTTCAACTGCTTTTATTTACTTAGCAAGCTGATACTGAGTGCTTCCTCAGTGCTGACTGTTAATATATAAGCAAAAGATCTTTAGTGAATTAGGATCAAGATCAACATGGTAGAGGAGGTGATGAAAGAAAACCCAGGTCTGTGCTCTGGAGAAATTCCTACACATACTGCTGATTCTGATCTTACTGAACATATGAGATAAAAGGTCTGCAGGATGTATGCTAGTTTTCTGATTATTATTTAAGTTTGATACTATTGCCCTTTGGCCCTTGGGTCTCAGATGGCCAGAATGAAGGACTTCATGAGTGAATAAAATGTATAACGTATTTAATTTTCAGTTCAGTTCAATCACTCACTTGTGTCCAACTCTTTGTGACCCCATGAATCAGCACACCAGGCCTCCCTGTCCATCACCAACTCCTGGAGTCTACTCAAACTCATGTCCCTCAAGTCGGTGAGGCCATCCAGGCATCTCATCCTTTGTCGTCCCCTTCTCCTCCTGCCCCCAATGCCTCCCAGCATCAGGGTCTTTTCCATTGAGTAGCTCTTCGCATGAGGTTAATCCCTTTTGGGGGAGTAGTGGTGGTGGTTGATAACCCGATTTTATACAGTTGATTGGTGTACCTCTTTTTCTGAGGCAGCTGAGAAGCAGAGTGTTTAAGAATTCACAAACCCGCGCTCCTGTGGGTCTCCCCAGATGGCTCGCGTAGAGGGCTGTCTTTAATCATGTCGGGTCTTGCTTTCCCGTCTGTAATGACCGTGTGTGACCATACTTAAGGGTCATATTGGCCTCTTTCCGTTTTCTTGAGAGCTCATTTGGAGATTCTAGTAGGAGAGCACAGCTACCCGTTATACCCTTGACGGAAGACCAGTCCTCCTCTTTCGGGCAAGGTCTTCATCTCCCAGCGAGTGCGCCGCTTCGGGAGGGGGGCTCCTGGAGTGGTGAGGGAGGAAGGGGCTAATCTAGCCAGCCAGATCAGCTGAATCAGCCCCGGCGATCAGTGGGCTGACAGATGTTGCAAACAGATCATCCTCCTTCTGTTTTCTTAACCTGTGGTTTGAATAATTGTAGATTCCTCAGGATATTGTGTTCTTTTTATTTTGGATCCTACAGTACTGTGCTGTAACCAGAACTCCTTTAACAAGACAGGCAGTTCGCTTGCTTGCTTGTTTTCTCATTGTCTCATTTTGGCTTTCTTTCAGATTATTTTATATTCCGGAGACAAAATTTATGATGACTACTATCAAGATCTGAAAGGACGAGTACATTTTACAAGCAACGATCTCAAATCTGGTGATGCTTCAATAAATGTGACAAATTTACAGTTGTCAGATATTGGCACATACCAGTGCAAAGTGAAAAAAGCTCCTGGTGTTGGAAATAAGAAGATTCAGCTGACAGTTCTTGGTAAGTTTTTTGTATCAGTGTTAATTATTAACAGGATAAGGGATCACAGTACTGTAGGAGCAGCATTTACGTGAGACAAAACTTAGAGTTCTAGAGTAGTAAGTTTAAATATTTGACATACTGTCCTCAAATAGCATAAAACATAGAGCTGGCAATTTTTTTTTTTTATAGAAAAAATAAGTGAACAACTTCTTCGTGAAGTTCATGAAAGCATTTGAAAGCGAACGAAGGAGTCCTGTGATACGGGAGATGAACCCTAAGGCAGGAGAGGGGATCCAGACTTTTTGCCTTGTTCTCAGGTTTGCCCTGGGAATTAAATAAAACCTCTTCATTTCCTGGGCCTCAGCCGGCATTTTTGAAACATAAAAATAATTATCATTAAATCTCTATGCAGTCTCATTCACCTCAAAATTGTGATGTGTGCTTTAAGTTTTATCAAACCGCATGTCCCAAGGAATAAATGAGATTTCTATGATGAATAGTTGGAGTATTTAGAGCAGAGGAGATGGAATATGGTAGCTGGAATATTGAATTGGGGTAAGGCCATTAGACCTCAGACAGTCTTTTAACCTCCCTGAACATCACGATTTTTTCATCCTTAAAAGTAAGGAGGTTAGACAGATGCGCACTAGGACGTAGCTCTCCAGGACAGTTAAGAAGGAGAATAAGTATAAACTGCTTTGTGAAGATCATAGACTGAAAAGTTTATTATCCTTCTCCAGATTCTGTGGTCATGCACAAGCACACTTAAGCCCTGCAAACTGAGAAACACTGAATGGTATTGCTCAGAAACTTCTAAAACCTTGCTGTGGCAGCTTTGCCCAAAAGTACAATGAGCTGCCGTGTAGAGAATCTCAACAGTCTGGCACTATTGTATGACAGTAAATTCCCATGTGACCTAAGGTGTCTGGTTTGGGGGACACTTGGGGACCCACTTCACATCAGAAATGCTGATTGCTGGAAATGTCTTCCATATCCCTGGAAAGACCTCATCTACACATGTCTCCCTCACATCAGCTTCTACCTTTTGTTCCTTTTAATTTAGAGAACTGAGCAGGGCTTAAGTGTGTCGGATTCCGGACTCACTTAGAGCAGGTCAGTTCAGTCCAGTCTCTCAGTCGTGTCCGACTCTTTGTGACCCCATGAACTGTAGTACACCAGGCCTCCCTGTCCATCACCAACTCCCAGAGTTCACCCATACCCATGTCCATCGAGTCAGTGATGCCATCCAACCATCTCATCCTCTGTCGTTCCCTGCTCCTCCTGCCCTTAATCTTTCCCAGCATCAAGGTCTTTTCCAATGAGTCAACTCTTCACATGAGGTGGCCAAAGTACTGGAGCTTCAGTTTCAGCATCAGTCCTTCCAATGAACACCCAGGGCTGATCTCCTTTAGGATGGACTGGTTGGATCTCCTTGCAGTCCAAGGGACCCTCAAGAGTCTTCTCCAACACCACAGTTCAAAAGCATCAATTCTTCGGTGCTCAGCTTTCTTTATAGTCCAACTCTCACATCCATACATGACCACTGAATAAACCATAGCCTTGACTAGATGGACCTTTGTCAGCAAAGTATTGTCTCTGCATTTTAATATGCTGTCTAGGTTGGTCATAACTTTCCTTCCAAGGAGTAAGTGTCTTTTAATTTCATGGCTGCAATCACAATCTGCAGTGATTTTGGAACCCAAAAAAGCCAGTAGAGACTAATTTATGTGCATCCCAGCAACAACTTCCAGGGTTGTGGTTGATAAGGCAGTCTTCTGGAAACATTGTCGAGGGCATCCTGGTAAGAGGCACTCCATGCTGAGTGGAACTCATTCAGAATATGTCTATGGTATGAAAAAAAAGTGAACATGAAGAGGAACTGGGAAAGGCAATATGGTAACATTGGACAGTCTAGCCTTTTGTGTCTACATTGAGCAAACGTGGAGTTGCCTTTCTTTTTTATAAATGTGGGAGCTGGTAAAAGTTTAATAACTTGTCTGAACTCTTATCCCAGACCGTGACATACCTGAAATTATAACCCTGAGTGTATCTTTGGGGCTTCCCTGGTTATTTCAGATGGTAAAGAATCTGCCTACAGTGCAGGAGACATGGGTTGGATCCCTGGGCTGGGAAGATCCCCTGGAGGAGGGAATGGCTACCCACTCCAGTATCCTCACCTGGAGAATCCCATGGACGGAGGAGCCTGGGGGGGCCACAGTCACTGCATTCCAGGAAGTGTTGAGTTAGGATATATGTGGAATTTTAACTGGTTCCTGAGGTACCAAGCAGATTATACATATTTTTTAGAATTATTTACTGTGGAGTCCCTGTTTGATGGGGGCAGGTACACTGGGAGGGATGTGATTGGCACATGTTCCCAAAAGAGGTGTGGACAGATACTCTGTGTATCTCTCTGTGTGTGTGTGTGTGTGTGTGAGAGAGAGAGAGAGAGAGAGAGAGAGAGAGCTCGTAGGGGCTGCCGCAGACTCTGGCCAGGCACACCCGAGGCGGCAGCCTTGACTGTCGAGCAGGAGGGATGGCCTTTTACATTAAACCCCACACCTCTGACATCTTCCTCCTCGGCCTGGATGGGTGGGAGGCACTGACACTAACTCCTTTTGTTCGCTCTGTGTGGGATCACCGTGGCCAGGCAAGCCCTGGTGTCAAACCAGGGCAGGAGGGAGAGACTGAACGAGGGGCAAGGGGAGAGAGGGGCCAGTGGCGGCTGAAGGGGGAAGCGGGGATGACCTCTGACCTGCTGAGACTGTCTCAAAGCCAGAGGAGAATTTCTCCATCTCTCCTCCATGTTTTCAGATGAGTCAGGACCACTGTGGCAGAAGACACTAGAAGTTTCTCTTAAAAGTGAGAGCTGGATAGAAACTTAATTTGTTTGCTTTTTTCCTGAAAATACTGCTTAGGCAGTCTGGAGGAAAGATTAAACAAGTGCTTTATAGAGACCAGACTGTGCAGCCTCTGAGCTTCACTCTCAGAAGCTCGGCCTGATACTTTGATTTACTTGTCTAAAATCTGTAGATGCCACCATGGCATCCCCATAGTAATGAAAACTTGTTCGGGGACTTCCCTGGTAGTCCAGTGATTGAGACCCCCAGCTCCCAATGCAAGGGTCGTGGCTTCGATCCCTGCTTGGGGAACTAAGATCAGCATGGCACAGCCCAAAAACAATTAAAAAAAAAAAAAAAGAAAGCTTGTTCAGAGCCCTGGGTGTGTACAGATGCAAAGGGGGATGGCTGTTAGCTGTATGAGGGTATGAGGGGTGGTGTGTCGCTGTTCCATGCTCTGTTGCTAGGGCCCGCCCTACTCTTTCAGATGCGCCAACTGTACATATGGATGCAACTCAATAAAGGAGCTAGACAGGGGTGATGATGACAAGGGTTAGTATGGTGGCTGCTTACTGCCAGCACCTTCCCTGGGAACTCCAGCAAAACCTGTTCCTGGGACCTCTTGGTGTAAATAGACTTGGCTATTTTGGTGTATTTGGTGTACTCAGACTGCACCCGCACCATGAGAGGGCCATGTGCAGGGATTCAGTCAACACTGGGATTTATTTGTTTTTTTTCACTACTATTTATTCTGAAATAATTTTGGTTTTACAGACAAGTTGCAAAACTAGCAGAAAGTTCATGAGAGTGTACCCATTACCTAATTTTTCCTAATGATAACATTTTGCAAAATCATAATACAGTTACTAAAACCAATAAGTTAGTACTGAAGCTATACTATTAACTATGGCTTAATTTGAATTTTACAGCTTCCCATTATGCCCTTTTGTACCTGGGTCAAGTCGAAGGCCCATGCTGAATTGATGTCCCCTTTAGTCTGCTCAGGTTAATGTCAAGGGACACGTGTTGTTTTGCCTTATTGTTAACCATGATCACTTGGTTTAAATTTTATCTGATGGATTTCTCCATTATAAAATTACTAATTTTCCCTCTGGGACTGAAAAATACCACCACCACCACCGCCACCACTCCCAAATCCCCGATACCAGCTCTTTGTATATAAAATAAAAGTTTGAAAACTTAAAAAAAAAAAATCCCAGTGGAGGAGCCACTTTGAGACTTTGCAAATATCCTTTCACCTCAAACTTTTTGCCTCTTGATTTTTAGCATCTATGCATGGATTTCACCAGAAGTCAAGGTATTTTGAATGAAGCAAAAATACTATTCCTGGGTGGATGACATGATGATAAAAGTATATTCTGTCCCAGACAGAGATTTAGAGTATTTTCTGTAGTCTGAGGTAGGGGGCCCCTAGCTTGGAGGGGTGATGATATAACACACAGACGGAACACAGCATTACTAAATTGGTGGGATCCCAACCAAGTGCAAGTTGAAAGTCATAGCTCTTTAGCTGAGAAGGATTATTTATTGGTTTTGTCACTGAACATGGTGACCGATGTTCTGAGGACAATGACTGGGTATCCTGGAGCCCCAGACTGAAGAAATGTTAGATGATAAAACTTGATCTTTGTTCCCTTTCTGGTTTTATCTTTCAGTTCATCAAGGTGCCATGGATTAATAGTTAATCTTCCCTATATTGGGATGGGTAAAATTATAATATGGTTAGTGGTTGGGGTTGCCATGTAAAAGACTTGCCCTTTCTCCTCCCTTTGGAAAGCAGGTAGCCACCCCTAGGCGTCACTAGTGGTAAAAAGCCCGCCCGCCAATGCAGGAGACATAAGAGACTGAGTTCAGTCCTTGGGTTGGGAAGATCCCCTGGAGGAGGATATGGCAACTCATTCCAGTATTCCTGCCTGGAGAATCCCATGGACAGAGGGGCCTGGTGGGCAACAGTCCATGGGGTTGCACAGATTTGGACGTGACTGAAGCAGCTTGGCACACCTGCACGCCTAAGCGACGCTCACTCAGACCTAGTGTTGGTAAAATCTTGCTCTGTTGTGGATGGAGTATCTTGAAATCTCAAACTCAGTGGAACCCTGACTTCCTGAGCAGCTGCTGTAAATAACTGCCCATTATTGGATATGTTTGGGAGAAGGACATTTTCAGTAGAAAAAAAGTTTAGGGTTAGAATGCTGTATTACCAATAGAGGCTTGATGTCCAAAGCATTGCTTCAATATCTCACTTACTGCTAGTCTGTGTAATAAAGGATTTATTGGTAGTCTGCAAAAATGGAGAACAAGACTTATTTCATTGAAGACTCAAAGGATGAAATACTTGTGCAAAACTGATTCAGAAGTCCAAATGATGTAGTGTCCAGGGCAACTGATAGATGTGAAAAAGAAACAGATTTGCTTAGGAAAATCAACAATGCAGTTAAATGCATCTGTTGATCCTTATTAAAAAGTGTAAGTTGTAACAGACAAAGGGGAGAAATCCAATTAAAATTTAGAATTAGCAAGAAATGTGTGAAGTGAGACCATGATGAACACCCTTGGTTAAAGAGGCCTCACTGGGAATGACAGATCCTGTCGGCTAGATTTGGAAAACAGTTTGACATTTTCTTACAGAGTTAAACATCACTAACCTGATGTGAAAGAGGAAAACATATAACAGCACTTAACAAGCAGCATTGTTTATAACAGTGCAAAACTGTAAAACCCATTCACATTTATTCTTAGTAGTGAAAAAATAAAAGCCCAACCAGGACTTGAAAGACTCAACAAAGAAAAAAGCAGTCCTGCTGTTGATCAGACTGGGAGGGTGGCTGCAGGCAGTCAGGTCGGGGGTCTCTGGGAAGGCTGCTCCCCGAAGGGTGTGGAGCGTTGGTAAACTCTCGCCTACAGCTGTCTCCTCACTGTTGCCCCCAGAGACACGTGCACTGCTCCTCCTGCACTGCGGGCACTCAGGCCGCTGGATTGTCCTCATCTCCAGTTTAATCTTCGCTTCTCCTGATCCTGCCGCAGAAACGGCATCAGACTCAGAACTGGTCTCTGCTCTTGAAGACTCTTCTCCGGACCTTCAGACTCTCTCACTGCCGTTCCAGTGACATGCCACCGCTTCTCACAGTGCCTCACCCCCAGTCCATCTGATTCCCGCTGACTTCACACCCACTCCGGGTCTAACTGGACTTTGGTAGTAACCCCCAGACAGAATCAGTATTCATCAATATCTGAATGAACAAGCAAATTTATGTTACAGTCAATGGGATCCAACTCAACAATAGGAAAGAACAGATAACATATATATATATACAACAACATGGATCAATTGGATCAATCTCAAAATGAAGAGAAATTAAAGAGCCTCTTGATGAGGGTGAAAGAGGAGAGTGAAAAAGCTAGTTTAAAACTCAACATACCAAAAAACTAAGATCATGACATCCAGTCCCATCACTTCATGTCAAATAGAAAGGGAAAAAGTGGAAGCAGTGGCAGATTTTATTTTCTTAGACTCCAAAATCACTGCGGATGGTGACTGCAGCCAGGAAATTAAGACAGTTGCTCCTTGGAAGGAAAGTTATGACAAACCTAGACAGCATATTAAAAAGCAGAGACATTATTTTGCCAACAAAGGTCCATCTAGTCAAAGCTGTGGTTTTTCCAGTGGTCACGTACAGATGTGAGGGTTGGACCATCAAGAAGGCTGAGCACCAAGGAATTGCTGCTTTCAAATTGTGGTGCTGGAGAAGACTCTTTGAGAGTCCCTTGGACAGCAGGGAGATCAAACCGGTCAATCCTAAAGGAAGTCAACTCTGACTCCACTGAAAGGACTGATGCTGAAGCTCTAATATTTTGGCCACCTGATGCAAAGAGCCGACTCACTGGAAAAGACTCTGATGCTGGGAAAGATTGAGGGCAGGAGGAGAAGGGGGCAACACAGTCTAAGATGGTTAGGTAGCATCACAGACTCAATGGACATGAAGTTGAGCAAACTCCAGGGATAGTGAACAACAGAGGAACCTGGCGTGCTGCAGTCCATGGGGTCACAAAGAGTTGGACATGACTGAGCAACTGAAAAGCAATAACAGAAGCCTTATGATGAATAAAAGAAGCAGAAGTGCATACTGTGTATTCCATTAATATGATTCACAGAGAACAGAACCAACCTGTAGCGGTTATGCAGTTCAGCAAGACTGTATGAGCTGCCAGGGTGTTAATTAGTATTGAGGTGGGTTGCATGTAATGGAGCTATTAGCAGCTGCTCTAAACAGTACCCCAGAGAGACCTGGAGTATAATCTCAGAACTGCCTTTTTATACCACTGCTCTCTGGGAGGGCTTGGATTGCTATAACTATGGAATGTAATTGGCCCTTGCTGCTCTTATGTGAGTTGTCCATTTTATCAGCATACCTTATCATATAAACCCTGACTGTGGGCTAACAGAAGGATGTCACAGTGCACACACACTCCAAGAGGACTGCATACTCCCGGAAAACTACGCTGCCTGTCAAGGTCCAAGTATAAGAATAGGTTTAGGACTGGAGGGGAAGCATCCTTGGGTCTGAAGTAGGCCAGGCTGCATCATTCTTGCTTCTTTCAGATGTGCCCCGTGGGATGGAGGGGCACAGACCCGCATCTGAGCTGCTGCCTGGCCTCTTACGCAATGGCTGCTTGCCTGAGCTCATTCTCGCATGTTCTATGCCGGACGCAGCTAAGGAAACTGGCCTTGGCAACCTGTTTTAATCTCTCAGTCTTGTCTACTCCAAACCCAGGACCGCTGCTCTTGATTTAGCGGTTTGCGACATGCTGTGTTTGTTTAAATCATCATTAGAAACATACCTTCTGTTTTCCTGTATAAACTTATAACTTAATGTCTTTTCTTAGTTAAGCCTTCAGGTACAAGATGTTACGTTGATGGATCAGAAGAAATTGGAAATGACTTTAAACTCAAATGTGAGCCCAAAGAAGGTTCTCTCCCACTACGATATGAATGGCAGAAGTTGTCCGACTCACAGAAACTGCCCACCTCGTGGTTACCAGGTACAGCTGATTATACAGCTTGATTCTGTGCCATTGATTTGAACTACAGCCTAGTAGGATTTGTGCACAGATGTATAGATTTTTTAATCCCAATTCTTCCCTTCCCTAGATAGGGCAATCAGGATTCTAAGGGAATTAGTGTTTTATAATGACAACTTGGTGTCACGTAGTATAAATGAAGAGACATTTTATAACTGTTCAGGATATTATCATTGATTTCTTTGGTGTATATTTTTAATTACCGGTAATATTGATGGAAACTTCATTATCATAAATTAGTGGCTAAGCTACAACGAGAGATGGATCTTGAGTGTTTCGGCTAGATTCAGGTTGAAGATATGGTTATTTACACATAGCATGTTTGTAAAAACAAAGCAAGGTAGCTGTGTGACACTATCCACGATGATTCAAATGTGTTAAATCTGATCGCTCGTCTATGTGTTATAATCAATCTATTCAAACTGATTAATCCCCCTCCACCCCCTGTCCTCTGTAGGATCTCTCTCCACCTCTGTGTCTTTTTTCAGACTGAGAGGCTGAACAGTGGGACCCCTTCTGTGTTTCTGTCTCTTCGGTTTGGGGGATGAGATGCATTTTACAGATCTTGCTGCTGCAGCTAAGAGCTTTCATGCCACGAAGTATTTTTTATAATCTGCGTGGCTCTGTTTCAGCAGAGACTTTGTGCCTGACCGAAGGGTTCATGATTACTTTGGCTCTGACATGAATTGACTGGAGGCGCACTGGTGTGCATTCGGGAGACATGCACGTGTCTTACTGTGTTTGTTCTGCATCTCGCTGCAGTTTGTCTTTTACCTGGATTGTGAACCAAGTAGGGTTTGCCTTTACTAGAAACTCAGTTATTATAAAAATGGGTTTTGCTCCCTCACCCCCTCTTTCTTCCCATAGAAATGACGTCACCTGTTATATCTGTGAAAAACGCCAGCGCCGAATACTCCGGGACATACAGCTGTACAGTCAGAAACAGAGTGGGCTCTGATCAGTGCCTGCTGCGCCTGGATGTCGTTCCTCGTAAGCATCTTCTCTGTGCTCTGATGAGGTGGTTTCGTGATGTTTATGCAGTCGCCTTTGGTTCCATTAGCAAGTGTGTGTGATGGGCAGTGGGATGCTGCCTTTGAGCAAAGCACTGTGGCTTGGTTACTCGCTTTTCTAAGACATGGAAGGGAAAGAAGTACTACATTTTATTAATAAAAGCTTCATTATTGTAGCACCGTCATGGAGGCAAGAGTTGTCAGGTTAATTCTTGTACCATACTGAGCCCACGTAAGTGAGGCTTCCCTGCTGGCTCTAGTGGAAAAAACATCCATCTGCCAGTGCAGGAGATGTAAGAGATGCAGGTTCGATCCTTGGGTCGGGAAGATCCCCTGGAGGAGGGCATAGCAACCCGCTCCAGTATTCTTGCCTGGAGAATCCCATGGACAGAGGAGCCTGGCAGGTGGGGTCGCAAAGAGGTGGACACGACTGAAGCGATTTAGCACGCATGTGACTAAGGACGAATTATTTAGAACATTCTTATGCCAACCTAGATAGCTGTGAATAGTAAAATCTTTCAGAGTGATTTTATTGTTTTTATCCTTGAAATAGATTATGCAGTTCAGAAGAAAGTTCGTTTAGTAGATTTTCCCCGACAAGAAAAAGCTAGCTAATTTGTCTCTTAAAGTTAATATTGGCAATGAAATCGATCTGTTATTCTGTATCATTACCTTCAATATGACTAGGTAAAAAGTATTTTTGTTTTGTGTTGTTTTTACTATTAATTATTTTCTTGTTAACATCTTATTCTAGCTTCAAATAGAGCCGGGACAATTGCAGGAGCTGTTATAGGAACTTTGCTTGCGCTTGTGCTTATCGCTCTTATTGTCTTTTGCTGTCATAAAAAGCGCAGAGAAGAAAAATACGAAAAGGAGGTTCACCATGATATCAGGTAATTAAGTGACACAGGAGGTGACTGATACACTGAATTTATTACATCATTAAAGCATTAGTTCTCTTAACCGTCTGAAGCATTTGGCTGCATGAGGACTGGATGAAAGCTGTAGCTTTTCCCCTTAACACATTTGAAAGCATATATACTTATTTCAAGTGTGTGGAGCCAACTAACCTCTCTGCTACTTTGGGCCCTACTTTAAGAACCACTGCCGAATGCGTATCTCAGGACTGTTTGCCTTCTCCCAATAAAGTACAGGCATGAAGTTTTTAAGAAATGAAGATGTTAAGGTTGGTTAACATCTTTAAAGGTCTGATTGTATCTAGTGACGTAGTTAGTTAACAGATCTATTGGTAATGTGATTTAATTTTTTAAAAATACTCTAAACCAGTAGATCTTAACCAGAAGTGAATTATAACATTGAATTATAGAAGTTGTAAAAATAACAACATATGACCAAAGTAACACCCAGAAAACTGACATTTGCTGAGTCTAGGGTGGGGTCTGGCACTTTTCTTTTCGAAATGTACCAGAAGTAACTCAGATATATATTCTATGTCAGGGCTCATTATAAAAATTCTTATGCCTGCTTCTCAGGTTTTGCAAACTTAAATCTGCTAAGTTTTCAGCTAAAGTCTTAGATGAGTAGCTTTCATAATAAAAAGGATATTTTATCTTGGTTTTCTTTTTTTGGTTGAAATATCTGTCAGTTTATTGACTATGAAGTATTACACGACTATAACCAGATTATCTAGATCAGTGATACTAGAATATGAAAATATTTGAAGTTTGTTCTTTGTGAGACAACATTACAGAGTCATGCCTTTTTGTAAAAACCACATTTCATTGTGTGTGAAGATAGAAACTCTGTATTGATAATCTCGGGCCAAACACACACTTGATGACATCATGCCTTCCTGAGCGTGTTTTCCATGTGTCACTCACACTTTTACACACTTGGTGCTTAAATAGCGGCTCTTCCCTCATCCCTGCCCCTGATTCACAGCTCACATAGTGTAAGATTTTTTTAGAAACGTTCTTTGGGATCTTCGCTTTCTAGAGAAGACGTGCCTCCTCCCAAGAGCCGTACGTCCACTGCCAGAAGCTACATCGGCAGCAATCACTCATCCCTGGGATCCATGTCCCCGTCCAACATGGAAGGATATTCCAAGACTCAGTACAACCAAGTGCCAAGCGAAGACTTGGAACGCGCTCCCCAGAGTCCGACACTCCCGCCCGCTAAGGTAGCTGCCCCTAATCTGAGTAGGATGGGGGCGGTGCCTGTGATGATTCCAGCGCAGAGCAAGGACGGGTCCATAGTGTAGGGCCTCTGTGCTCCTCACCCGTGCTCTCCTCTGGAAATAGGAACACCCGTACGTTTTCCTACCAGCCTCAAAATACATGAGAAAAAAAAAAACAGCTAACCAAAAACTGTAAGAATAATACATCAAAAAGTTTTGTTTGGTTATACTGAAATAGTAAAGGAATTGACGTTCTGAGGACAGATTCACTATCTAAATAATATTTCCTTTAAGAGCTTGACTTTATAGGTTTCTGAATATCAATACTTAAGTTAGATGTGGCACTTTGAATATGAAATCAGAGGTGAAGAAGGAAATTGGTGAACTTTCATGCACACCAAGTTGATACTTGAATCATCTGAAATTTCTGCCATTGTTTTTAGATTGCTTTTTTTCCACTTAATTTATGTGACCCAGTAGTGTTCCCCTAACCCCCTCAAAATCGGTAAAGAAAGATTCATGGCAAAATACTTACATGCATTTATGTTTGTTCTTGTTTTCACTTCTTTGAAAGCTTTGTGTTTGAAATGTCTCTAATAACTAGAAAACACTACAGTGTTCTAGAAATCACCTAGTTCTGTGTAATTCATAAGCCTTGGATGTGAAATGACTTCTTAAGTATTTAATGGATAGATTGCTGTGAGTGGCAGGGACATAGGTAGATTGCTGGCAGGGACATAGTAGGCTCTTTGGTATGCTAAATAAAAGGAGCATTTATCTGATTCATTTAGAAAATTTGCTGTTACCTGTATACAGTGATGACACTAGTGGTGCAATAGTGAGGATGGATTTTGTTGATTAATGTTCCAGTGACCCGAGGCCTGTGGTGGTCTGCAGAACAGTGACCTGCTATCGAAGATGTATAGTATTTTGCAGTTCCCAAGTAAATGCTGGCCCTGCGCTTTAGGTGATATTTTCCTAATAAGAAAAAAAAATTATAACTCATTTATTGTTTGGCAATTACAGATTGTCATTCTCTAAATTATTGGTTCTAAATTGAAGAATTTTTTGTTTTCCTGGTTTGGTTTTTTGTGTTTGTGATGGTGTTGCATATTATAAAGGTAATCTGAAATTTACCCTCTTAAATGCAGTTCCTGGAGGTTATTTTCTTCATAGACTTAGAATGATGAACTACATTTTAAATTAGTAAGTGTCCTCTGTCAATTCTGTATTTCAGACTTGGGAGGATGTACAGTTGCTATTGTATGGCCAACATGTCTTGTGTAGTTTCAGAAAATCAAGTTGAGCTTGGAAAAGTTTTGTCTTAGTTTTGTGGAAGTGACTTAATCTTTAAAAAAAAAAGAGAAATGAAAGGAAAAGGAATTAGAAAAATACTCCTACTGCCAAATGTGTTAAATACTGTTTTAGTAGATGAAAGTGAATTTATTGTATTTCCCTTAAGATTGTGAGGGAGTGTGGATTTAGTAGAATGAGCCAACAGTTTCTTTAAAGTAATAAGGTCTGCAATAAATTATTTCACTAGCTCTAAAACCTTTTCCCTAGATTTTAGTAGGGAGTTGGTTTCTGTTCATCTCTTTGGGTGCTGTGGTGGTAAATGCTACATTACACATTAATGTTGGCGTGTATTTATGATTAGGCAGAGTATTGTATACATTTTTTAATGGCAAATTAAAGCTGAATGTGTAATGGATTCATGTATAGTTTTACATATTTGGAAGCATTTTTAACATAGGTTTTTAATGTTACATAATGTTGCTTTTATACTTACGTTAACATTTTCATCTGTGCCTTTTGGGTAATTTAGTTTTATTACGAATTTCTGGTGCCTATGAGCTAGCTATCACCTGAAAGGTGCTTAGAGGTGAAGGTACTCTCCCTAAAAGTGCATCACTGTGATACCTATCTATCCTCATACCTTCAGTCTTGCCTCTTCCTGTTGCATTGCTCATGTATAGTTTTTAAAATGTCAACATCCCCTACACTCTTTGACTGTGTTTCTGATTTTATAATAATAACTATTTTTGAATATCAGAGCTCTGATCTGTTTTATATGAATAAAATGTATAAGGTATTATAGAAGTAAATAACCGAGCACAGACATTACTAATAAGAATTTTGGTCCTTCCTAGTCCCAGTTTTGTAATGAAGAGTATGCTATCAGTATACGTAGAAATCCCTACAAAAAGTGGACATATGTAAGGCTTTCCTTACCTTAGACTTCATAGTTAATCTGGGATTTGGCTGTAGAATCTCTTCGGAAAGTGCTTTTCAGGCAAGAGTACCGAAGTGGCTGCCATTTCCTACTCCAGGGGATCTTCCCTACCCAGGGATCGAATCCACATCTCTTGCGTCTCTCCTGCATTGGCAGGCGGATTCTTAAGCCCTAGTGCCATCTGGGAAGCTCCCCATTGTTTCTCTTCCCCTAGACTTCGAAGTTAATCTAGGATTTGGCTGTAGAGTCTCTTCCAGAATGCTTCCTTCCAATTCAGGTCCATTACCACCTACAGCCTGAGAAACAAGCTCGGAGAAAAAAGGCCACTGTCATGACCTCAAGAGACCTGTTAGATGTGGTTGAGTTTAGAGGACAGAACTCAGTTTTCAGTTTAAATCTCCAGCTACTCGTAAATTTCAGTGAATCCAAAAGTCAGACAGTACTGATAACTTCCTAAATAATTCTGACTGATAGTTTCCACTGAACTAGAGATCAAATATTTGTTCTAGAATTACTGTTGGTAATCATCAAGCAAGTCAACAAAAGATTAATTATTCAACCGTTTTGAAATGTCAGTCAAGGACAGTGCTGAACCATCAAAGCAAAGCTGTTCCATTCCACCTTGTACCTAAGACAATTGACACTGTCTTTTTGAGTCAGTTGGAGTACTTTTAAAAGAAATATAGAGGTTATAATTCTGTGTTTTGAATATGTAGATTACAGGTGTTTGTTTTCATATGGCAACCTTACTAATATTTCCCTGTTTGGAAATCAAAAACAAAAAAAATATTGATTAAACTGGCCAGTTATTCCAGGAAGATAACCTTTAAATTTGGACTGTCATGGAGTCATTACAATGGAAACACAGACTGAGTGTGTCTTGGGGGATGTTAATTCAAGAAACACAATTATATTATTGGTATGAAGACCTGGTTCTTATTAAAAAGATGATTTTTAGGATTGAGTTCTGGATATTTGTAGCAGGTAACAGGGGCAGATAAGACAGTTTGATTAAACATGAAAAGAATTCATTGCATGAAGTTGGATATCCAGTCCTGTAATGTATGGCTTCTTAACTATTCTGTCTTTCTCTGTGCGTGCAGCATGTAAATTTAAAGTTATATAAACGTTTAAAGTTTTTTTTCTCATCTTTTTCATCTCCATAGTGTTTAGGGCTTTCAGATGGCCTTATTCCAGTGTGCAAAGAAAAAAAATTCATATTTTTTGTGGTTAATGCTTTGATGTGTCATGTAAGGAGTAGTTTGTAGAAAATGTTGGCACAATTTTAACTTTTTAGTGGCTTGTGACATATATTATATATATGTGTATATATATATATATATCTTTATAATATTTCTGTGTTTAGTAGTATAAATGTTCTGGGCAAGTTTTAATATTTCAAATGCCTTTGGATATTCTTGCAATAAAGGCGACGTGTTCTGTAGTTAGACCTTTTTTACTCATTTGACACTAAAATGGTTCATAACTGAGCACAAATTCTACCTAATAGAAATAGGAAAGAACAATATATAAATTGGTGAATTGTGGTTCTCTTTGTCTTATGAAAGGTAACACCAACACACGTTTGTTGTTTTGGCTTCTCACTGTTAATTAAAATATAGTTTTGCAAAATACCCTCGTTTGTAATTTCAGAGCGCGGTAAATGTCAGTTGAGTTTCGTTTAGGCCTCAAACACTAAAAGCTCCAAAGAACTCTGTTTTCTACTAACTTATTTTATGACACAAGTGCTGAGAGAGCCGCAATTCACTGATTCTCTTATTCTCATTCCTAACTGTGAATTTTTGTGACAAATACACTTGTACTACTGAGAAGAAATATTTTGACACTTCACATATGCAAATAGAGAACTGCAAGTGTCAGTTTCAAAAATGATTTTTTTGTATTTCAAGTTTCTGGCTTAAATATCCAATGGTGCAGATTTTGAAATTTGTAAGAACAAAATTTGGTTTCAAAAAAGCCAAAAACTTGCTCTAGTTTTGTGACCTTGTGTACTTTGAAAATAAAATCAAGAAAGCAATTTTTTGCCTCATGGTGTGGCTTCATTGTGCCTCTTATTTAAAAAAAAAAAAAGTGTGCTTTATAATGTTTCAATATACTGTTCTCCCTGCTTTCCTGAGCCAGCGTTTCTTCCCCCACACCCCCTTGCATCTTTTATTAAACAAAGTAAAGATCAGAACAATCACACATCAATGAAAACTTATCAATGAAAATTTTTCCAGTCCTGTGCATCTATATGACAGTGTATAACAATGTTTTTGTGGTTGAAGCCTCCAAAGTTCCATGGAGGATCGTGTCACAATTACAGTCTAAAGAGTTTTCAGATACATTAAAAATGTGTGTACAGTGACTTGCCTGCTGGCCCAGTGGTAAGACTCCATTCTTCCATGCAGGGGGTTTGGGTTCAGTCCCTGGTTGGGGAACTAAAATCCCCCATGCCCCACGGTATGGCCAAAAAGAAAAAATTTTCATGCGTATATGTATTAAATACACATACATCTAGTTAGGCTTTAAAGCTATTTTCATTGACTCTAAACAGTGATTTCAGAAAAAAAAAGGGGGGGTAGTAATACTTTTGTAAGAAGATATTTTGAGAAATATTTTGTTTTTACTATAGTTTCTCAACCTTGGCTCTTTTAACATTTGGGGATGGATGATTCTTGGTTGCGGGGGACTGTGTGCATTGCTGATGTTTAGCGGCATTGCTGACCTTTACCTGCAAAGTGCCCATAGCTCCTGCCCTCCCCACCAA